GCATATTCGAGAACAGGAATAACAAGGGCTTTATAAAGTCTCAACAAAATTTTTTGATCAGTTGATTTGATGTTTCTAAAGATTGTGTATAAGATGGAAAAAGCACGGGAGGTGACGGAGGCGATCTGTAGATCCGGTTTCAATCTCGAATCTATCAGAACTCCCAGATCTTTGACGAATATTTTGTTAATCAGTGCTATTCCATTGTGCTGATAATGCACTTGTTCTTCGCCACCGATGTGAAAAACGGAACTTTTAGCAATGTTAACAGAAATATCCCACTTTGTACACCAGGCAATCATGAGATCAATAGAATGTTGTAAAGCTTCTTGGATCTCATAGCGATTTTCATTGCTGTACATTCCGTATATTTTTATGTCGTCTGCATACATAAGTACATGAATTCCGGGGTGAGTTTTTAACAGCTGGGGTAAATCGGCAGTATAGACCGTAAATAGAAGGGGAGACAGAACACCTCCCTGAGGAAGCCCACTAACGCAAGGAAAACGCTCAGAGAGTTCATTCCCAACGCGGACAGTCATATGTCTAGATTGGAGATATGACTTGAGCCAATCAAGTAAGGCGCCTCTGACCCCATAATGCTCAACTTTGTACAGCAATTTAGCATGACCTATACGATCAAACGCTTTGGAAAGATCAAAGTAGATAACGTCCACTTTCTGTCCCAACAAGATAGCATTGACCCAATCATGAATTGAATCGATCAACTGGGTAACAGTAGAAGCACCATTAACAAAGCCGTGTTGCTCTGGGGGAATAATTTTGAATCTTTCAAACCACTCCAAAAGTTTATCACGAATTATTTTTTCCAAAACTTTGCATGGGACGGGATTGATGCTAATAGGTCTGAAGTCAGAAACCACTTGAGGTTTACTGACTTTTGGAACGGCTGTGACAATAGCTTCTTTCCAGATACTTGGCACCTCACCACACATGAGGGAGATGTTAAAGATGTGGGAGAGAGGAGTAGCAAGTTCTTTAGCACATCGCTTGAATACTATCTGTGGGATTCCGTCAAAAGTTTCAAAAGTTGAATTTTTGAGACTTTTGAGATAGCGTTCCACCGTAAAAGGCATGATAATCGGAGCTGAGCATATATGCGCCACAGGCGCCCCAAGAGATACTGTTGAAGAAGAAGCCGTAGTAAATGTGCTCGCAAAGAAAGCACCTAACGCTTGAGCTTTGGATTGATTAGTTAGGCATACATTATCCGACTTATCTTTCAAAGCACCAAATTCTTTGATATGAGTTTTACTGTGGATATACGCAAAAAGACTCCGTGAGTGCTTTGACAGAGCTAAGCGTCTCTCATAATTAGCAAGGAACTTCTTGAGGTGGAATGCAATATCGCAACAGACTTTCTTGTATAGCGGACTATCAGATCGAAATGCCTTGAACAGCCGTTCTTTTTGCAGCAGGAGTGACTGGAGATGATGCGGGTATTTTAGATATCCAATTTTGCGAGTCTCAAATGGGGTAAATCTTCCTAAGAGCTCATATAGGACACAGGAAAACCTGTAGTACACTTCCGATGAACTGCTATAAAGATCAAAGCATTCTTCCCAGTTAACTTCATTAAGCTCTTTTTTCAATGAAGCAAAATCAATCTTATTAAAATTTGGTCTTGGTATAAGGTCGCATTTTGGAGAGGTGAATTCATATCGAAAATCGATCATGCTATGATCCGAAGTGACAAAGGGAGCTCTAAGGAATAAGTTAGAGATGGAACGGAAACCTGCTAAAACCAAATCCAGTATAGCATCATTACGTGTCGGCTCCGTCACAAACTGCTGCAATTGCAATCTTTCAAAGAGGTCAAAAAATTTCTTAACATTTAAGCTGTTCGGGCATTGAAACTCTTGAGAGTATTTGATGGGTAAGTTGAAGTCACCAACAATCAAGGTGTCTGTGCAACATAAAGCAGAAGCGGAAAGCAAGTCTAAAAGGGCTTCATCTGAGTCAGCATTAGAATTCGGAGGGCGATAGATACAAATGGTTCGTAATTTGGAAAAAGAGGAACCTTGATAAAGGTCAATGGCCAAAAAGTCACAATTGTGTGGGATGGTTATGTCAACCTTGTCGCACAACAATGTTATTTTTATCAAAACACATACACCTCCCCCTTTCTTATGGTTTCTGTCATGACGGAATATTGTATATGGCAAATTTGAAACGATTTCAGCATCATTGATTTTAGAAGAGAGCCATGTTTCTGTAATGAACAAAATGTCAGGAGCTTCAGTGACCAAAAGATTATGTAAATGGGCAAGTTTATTCACTAAAGATCTAGAATTAAACAGTATACATCGTAAAGAGTGGTCTTGCCAACTATTTAGTTTCCCCGCTGCGTTGACCCTTGTCTACGCAGGGGGTATGGGGCTTGGGAAGACGATTGGCTGTGCGAAAGATTGCTGGCTGGAATTAATTCCCCTTTATAAACTACGAACCTGTCCTCATATGCCCTACTCTGATTCATCTGCCTAGCCCTTTCTCGAAGCTCCCGTTCCTGCTCTCTCTCCCGGGCAGTCATACTTCTTCTAATGAAGACGCCCTTATAATCAGGATAGTCTCTTAGAAGTCTGGCCCGGGAGAGAGTTGTGACCCAGTGCCCCTTTGTTGGTAACTCAACTTTGACCAATCGAGGCTTGCCCACTTCTTTCCTCCCCATCCTATAAACCCTTACGGGCCTACATTCCACATCGAGAATGTCCATGAGCCCACGGACTTTCCGCTCAGTGTCGTCTTGTCTAGCCGACGCTGGCGGCCAGACTCCATCACTCGATTTTTCGAGTTCCGGGAGCCCGGAGATCACGATGCTCCGTGATCTTTTATCCTTCTCAATTGCCCCCTCGCTAACCTCACCAAGACGTACTAAAATCTCATTAGTGATTTCATTCACTTCTGGTATGTTAAGATCCAAAAGCTTTTTGAATAAATGAAAAACAGAAGTGAATTCGAAACCACCAATGGCATCCTGAGAGGCAAGCGAGTTGATAATTTGCGAAGGTACGGTGCCGCTCGGAGGAGTAGTCAAAAGGTTAGAGGCAGCAGGGGTTTGATTTTTGCGTTGTGACCTATTTGATTTTGCAGGCATAGTTAGATAGAGTATTTAATAGAAGATAGGCCAGACGCACAGAGATATCGATCAAGACACCGAAAAAAATCTCAGATATGTAAAGAAATTTCAATTCAGCCGGGACTCAGGAAGTGAGACACCCCTAGCTCTATCAAAACACTCAAAGGAAATTATGTGACACAAAATAAGGAAAGAATGTCGGAAATAGACACGAAAAATGAGAAGAAAAAAAGACTACGCGGAGAGCAAACAAAAGACCAACCGCTCGCGGTTGAGACAAGTGAGGAAGTGAATTTCTGAAGCTTCCATATGGGGCTTTTTTTAGGCTCCGGCAAACTTCAAGCAATTTCAGTTGCCACACGATTTGGCAATTTGCCAGAATTTATTTCAAACCCAACACTGGCAGACGACGGATAAATAGCGTGTACAACTGCTGCAAATGAATGAAATACCCTGTACCATGCAGTATGCATGCGCTCACGATCACTTAGACTCCCGCCAGACTTCGCCCAAAAACGCCCAAAGGCGCTCAAAAGCGCCCAAATTTCTCTAATGTCTCTTCACAAATCGCTTGAGGTATGCTCGAGCCCTTATGCTACGGCCTCCCCGGCGGCAATGTGAATGTATGTGGTCCTACCACAGAACGTTTTACATATTGCGCAGTGTGTGCGCGCTCACAAGCTTTCCAATGCGATTCGACGACGGGCGGGAGCGCCATTTTTAAGGTCAACGCGTGGTTACGCCGCGCATGTGGCTTGTTCGGATCGGTCACGACCACGCTTCAACTTTCGGGGCACTACAGTCCCGTGCAACAATAAAATTTCTTGAAATTCCTAGCCAAATTTGTAAGCGAAGGCCCGTATGGAGGTTCAATCGTTAAGGAGCATGAGAGATATAAGCATGAAAGTACCTCGCTGCCTTCATCTTAATCGTTGCTAGATAGTCCTGGATTCTCAACGCGCTCGAAAATTACAATGCCTAAAATTGCCTAAAAATGGCATTTTATAGGCATGATGAAAGGGGCAGCGTCTATCCAAGTTGCCGACCTAGAAATTTTTGTTTTTATTGGGCCTTACTGTTGTAAAATGCGGGCTATAAATTACCTGAAGCGGTCGTCAACTGGGAGCTTTCCCGCCCTCTATAAGGAAGCCAGACGAACAGATCGTAGTGGAAGAGTATTGTATCGAAGAGATAGTATAAAAAGTGCAGAGATGATTGCTGGTCTCAATCGGAATCAATATGCATGCGTGGCTCCTTAGTGGGCGGGCGGAAAACTCAAGCGCGCCTGTGGATCTCTTCCAAAGCGTTTTTCGTTTTTGCTAAATCATGACATCGCGCTTGGGTGATAGCTTTGGGGGGGGGGGGGGGCTGCTATCGTGCTGTGTAATAAATTCGTCTTCCCCACTTTGTCCTGACACTTCCTTCAAAGTAGGATATTCGTTCGCTTCCTAGCTGTTCTCAGTTACTGAAGACGAGTGGCGTAGAGTTATGAGGCCCCGCTATGACCAGGTCGGCCCAAAATTGGATCCCTTCCTTACGATGTCAAGCCCTCTTCCTTCTGAGGACGGTAAATTGGTAACAGAGTAATCTGGGAGGATGAAAGTACCGATTTGGTAATTGGCTGGCCCCCGCAAGTCACTATAGAATACCTTCACGCATTCGTTTACCTTTTCGACTATGAAGTAGAGTCATGCTCGCAGAAGGTGTTAAGGACGCCGATTCATATATCCTTTATCCTTTAGGAGCTTCACCTTAAAGGAATGCACAAGTTTCTAAGGTATAAGCTTAGACAAAATTGGATGACCGTTTCAGAGAAGTTCACATGACAACTTGCGTTGATGCGACTTTCCATTTACACTGAACAGCAGAACATGCTTCTGAGTTTTATTTCTGCATAGTCAAGGGCAGGCGGAAAAGATGACGCTTTTTCCTCCTTCGTAACCGGCCATGCCACTGCTCATGACATGATGTTGTGTATGAATTCATTGATGGGCACTTTTCCTTCAACAATCTCCAGATCGCGTAGTAAGGCATCAACTTCATGTCCGGATAGACGCTCACATAAAACAGCACACTTAACTCGAAAACGAGTATAATGAACTTCACCAACATAGTCGTAAACATACCGGAGTTCTGAAGCATATAGCGGAGATCCGGTAACATCACCACACCGGTTCCATCACGATCGAAATGAGAGAGAAGATTCTAGAAAGAATCACATCAGCATATGTTTGAGTTGTTCAAAAAGGAAGAACCTGGAACTGTTCAACGCTGGGTGGTCTACCAGCTTCTTTTCGAACGTTTTCAAATATTGGAAGGAATTCCTCGATTGAAACACGAGCTTCTGGAAAATACCTTTTTCTACTCAAACTGTTTCTTACGAAAGGTAGTAAGGCGTGAAGCAGTAGGCTGACACAAAGGTTATCATTCTAAAATATTCCAAGTTCGGCAGCTTCTGAATCTTGGCATGGTGAATATTCGTGCATGATAATGGTTATGGTTATCTTTCTATTAAGGTTTTTGAGGAAAAATCAATTAAGCAAGACAGCTTCACTTTGATGACAAAATTGTGAAGTCTTATGCTTACCAGGTTTGTCCTTCCATTGTTGTGTCATACGTTCAATAAGTCCTTCCGTTGGTACGAGATCCAATGAGCGAAGACAGTTGCCAATCTAACAAGGGAAGGATACTAACATTAGCAGGCGATTGAAGATGAAATATATATCACTAGATGCGCCTTCAAACGCTGATTCCAAATCTGCTTTCCTTTTTTGCGGAACAGTTTTTCGAAAGAAGTTATGAACGTTTAAATGTCCAGATTTGCCAAGGTTTAGGTAGGCTAAAATTGGCGAAAAGCTATACAAAAACACGGGAAAGTGGAAAATCAGTTTTGTATCGAGCATAATGTTTGCAAGCAAGGAATAAAGCCGGTGGATATCGCATAGGTATGTTTCAGAGCTTTTAGTTGATTTTAAGCCACTCAATGCTTGACATATTTGGACATTCTAACGCTCATAACTTCTTACGGGAACCTATTCCGCAAAAAAAGGATAGCAGATTTGGAATCAGCATTCAAAGACGCGTTAATAATATACATTCCATCTTCAATCGCCGACTATGGTATCCTTCCCTCAGTGGCGTACCCGGGATTTCGGCTTGGGGGGGGGGGGGGGGGAGGCGCGACAAAATTTTTTTCCCAATGAAGGTGCATGGCGTCAGCCACAAACTCCGAAAATTTTTTTGGGATGTTTCCCAAAATTCTTCCGGGCCCCTGACTCCAATTTGCGAGCACCCGGAAAAAATTTTTTTACAGGGCCAATTTGAATTTTTAAAAATTATTCCAATCATTTACAAGCAAAAACAAGTCCTCTGCACATTTTTATAACGCATTTAAGAAACTTTTAAAAATTTCGCGACCCATTCTCGGGGGGGGGGGAGGGGGCTCCCCCCCCCCCCCCGCCCCGTCTCCCCCTCGGTACGCCACTGCCTTCCGTTATATGAATATGACAAATTTTCAAATAAATGGCACTGGAATTTCCCGCTTACCTGAGATGCAGCAATTTTCGAGTCCCCTTTGGTGTCAAAAAACTGGAACACTTCCTCGATTGCTTCCATCTAAAATTTCGGATACAACAATGCGTTTGAGAGTGAAAGGTTTGTAGAGAGTGGTAAGCTAGTATTCGGAGATGCGAAATCTTGACAAATAGAAGGAGTTCGCTCTTATGAAGTAACCTTTTTTTTCGATTCTGCTCCTGTTTCGTCATTCAATCTATAGTAACCAACTGATACACACAACAACAAAAAATATAAATGATCTATTATTCATCAAAAAGGATAAAAATAAAAATCTCTAGTGCTCAATTTTTGTCCCACATGCCGGTGATCCTGACTGGGACCGCCCTGTAGCTATTTTGAGAATGAAATTGCTGCGATTTCTCATATATGAATGTGCTGCCGCAATTTTATGGCAGAAATCATGGGACCAAACCCAGAATTATCGCTGTGTTTACGACTAGAGAAATCCCGAACATGAGAGAAGACAACAAAACACTATAATAAATCAGTCAAAATGAAAAGAAAATTTTTGAAAATCGATTTTCGTCTCCAGTTGTATCGCGCTTCTATGAAAAAAAGGAATAGACAGCATTTGAAAATTTTTTTTGAAGTATTTAAAGTTTACGATATTTGGAGTAACTGAAGCAGTAATGGAAATCAGAAGGAGTGACTTGCAAATTATTATTTCCTTAGTATAGCGACGCCTATGAAGCTTGAGGAAGAGGAGACACTAAGCAATGTGCGCTGCCGCCTCGGCACCGGCGAATCATCTCCCCTGCCGAGTAGCAGCGCCTAGAACAATATAAATGATAACGAAATATGCTTGAATCATTGCTATACATAGACAACACGTCATCTTCGTATAGCCTACAGACACCTGCAGCGTCGAGAGAGATGACATTTACCACAAAATGCCAGTTGCTCGCGATGATCGCCTGAAACGAAAAAAAGCAACGGATATTTCTACCACTGCAGATATATCATTGGTGAAGGATGCAGTTTTTCATGGTAGATTCATCGTAACAAGTGATGAAAGAAGCATGCTTGAACCTATTTTTACCTTCAACGGTGGAGGGACCAGGATTTCCGTCCGAGGAGAGGGCAAAAATTTCCGTTAAGTAAAGGTGCGCGGCGTTAGCCATCGTTGTGGGCCCATCCCCTAAATTCTAAAAAAAGGAACGTGGAGGTAGGTACTCGCCACGCATCCGAAGAAATTCTTCTACCAAGTTGATTTGAATTTTCAGAAAATTTGAACATTTATTTCAATTATTAAAAGAATAAACAAGTCACATGCACACTTTTATAACCCATGTAAGTAATTTTTAAAAATTTTGCGACTCATTCTCGTGCCTCCAGCGTATTTCTACAAACGCACAATAATTCGATAGCCTTTTTTTCTTCTGACCATTTCTTTAAGTAGCTCCTAACCATCTAGATAAAAACAATGAGTCTCCGATTTCAGTGTAACACGATCTGTGTGAGATTTTCAAAAGAGCATTATCTTTTTCTGGATTAGTGAAACCCAGATCATAAGGTACTAAAGCGTATAATGGTAGAGCAAAGGGATTCTTGGTTCAAATTTAGGAAAACAATTTTATAATTGCATGTACGACTCTCAATTAATCTCGGCATAGTTTACAATCTCGGCGTTGGCTGCAAGACATCAATCTCAATTTCATAATCCACTAACTGTTTTTCTGTCTTCATGGTATAGCTTCAATAAAAGCATGACAATTAGGGTTTTCCCATGCTTCCATGAGCGTCTCCTCCAAAATGCCTTTCATGATATTTAGCCTAGAGACGCAAGGGTTTTTGCAATTTCATTACTCGATCGAAATAATATTTCAATTTGTTAACAGTTAGAAAGAAATCCGAGACAAAGCAAGCAGCGCACCATTAATGACCTAATTCCTCTTGTTCGCGAACTGATTCTCAGGTTCAACAGCCAATGAATTACTCTTTACCCCCTATCTGCAATGCTTTCTTTATCTGCCACAGGAATTGCAAATTAGAAAGCTATTAGAAATATCTTGAGAATCTGGATGAGTTGGCCGCCATGTCCTGGCTCCTCTCACATAGCCCATCGGTAGCTATGATGTCGGTTTTATTGCTGAATCAAAATTAATGAAAACTTTTCGTTTTCTTCCACATTCCGCATATCGTGTTCGAATAATGATAGGTAAGTGTACTGAACTTTGTTAGCATAAAGTCAGATCATAGGTCCAAGTTCCCTCATGATTGTCAAAAAAACCTCAAAAATTTTGAACCCCCTTTTTTGCTTTGGGTGACTTTGAGTGATTCTCAATCCTAAAATCTAAAGTTTTCGAAAAAGTTTGATGAAGTCAACAAAAAGCAGGTTGGTTAATGCAAATAATTTTTTTAGGTCTTTCGAGACTACATACATTGCGAAACTGAACTTTCAAAGTTTTTTCACTTTTTACTCGAAATTCCATTTTCAAATGCATTTTTACGGCGCTCGGTCAGACTTCGACACCAAGTTTTATATACTGTTCAGTAGAGGGAAGCCTAAAATTTTTTAACACGGTTTCTGATTTTTATCGATGCCTAGACGTGTTTGATCTGCACACCAAAAAGAAAAATCTTTCTAATTATAAAAATTGTACAAATTTTCTCCCTACGGCCTTTTTCAGTGCAATCAAAAGAATTTCGTTCACATCATGATTGATCTGATTGAGAAGCCTGTTAACTTTTGAGCTGCAGCTGCACTCGAGTCTTGCGATTTACGCTCAGAAATTACATGATGTCGAACTTACCTCCGACTGCAACTTTTTTTTGCAGCTGGCGTCGCTTCTACGGGGATTGCTACGCCTGGATGATGGATCCAAAATATGTGTAAGGCATTAGTCCAACAATGTTCGGAGTAATCAAAGATCCGGTCCACCTTATGCAAAACGACAAGACCTCAAAGTCACTTAGAAAATGGTGCATTTTTAGGTGCAAAAAAAATCGGTTTTTCAAACTTTCTGAAAAACGTTCTTTGCATGTGGTCGCTCAGAGGCTTAACTAGTCCCACAACAGCCACAGCAGACTTCTATATAAGTACAGCATTTGGACACTCCAGCGTGCCTAAGATAATCCTGCACAATTAAGCCGCTTTTCGGGACGACCTTTTTCCCTTCTGGGCATGCTGGTGAACCACAGTGAGGTGTTGAACAGCCAGCAAGACAAACATATGTTGTAGACAAAACCATCTTTGCAATGAAGTTTGTAGCTTCAAAAAAATTAATCTGCTTGAAGTTACAGCGATTTGAAAAAAATATTTCGCAAGTGCCCGTGAACGTTCTTTGCGACTCAACACTAGCCTTGCAAAATGAAGCGGTTGGTTAAAGGCAAAGAACGTGTACTATAAGAAATCATTCTTACTCTACAAGAGCTGTTGTGCGTTTTCAGAGCATTAGATCCCCCTGTTGTATAGTGTTGCAGGCTTCTTGAAGCAAAGTTTTTTGAGAGGAAAAAATTGGCGATTTCGGCAAATGCACTTTCCGTATTTGGTCTGTATCCCTCAAAGTGTTATCCGCATATGTAGCGGAAGGCTAATAGCAAACGAAGCGATATTGGTATACTGACAAATTTGCAGCACGCCAATACGCCAGGAATTACATAATATCTCAGTAGTAGCATATTGGCGTGCTTCAAATTTGTCAGTATACCAATCTTGCTTGCTATTAGCCTTCCGCTTACATATGAGGATAACAATTTGTGGATCAAATGCTGAAAGTGCAATTGCCGAGATAGCCAATTTTTGCTTAATAAACTTTGCTTCAAGAAGCCATACAACATCATACAACAAGGGATCTAAGCTTGCTCTGAGAACGAATTACACTTCTTGTGAAGCAAGATTAGCCCTTTCAAATGGTACGTTTACTTTACCGCAAATCAACGCTTTATCAAAAAATGGCTACCAAGATAACAACTCTACGAACTTATGACGACCTAATAATTACCATTGTCTCATTGTCAGGACTTGCTTCAAACAAAAAAGGTGAGGGAATGCAGAGGAGGCTGTTAATCAGACAGTCGACTGCATACCTCCGGAGCAGAAATGGCCGAGCCGCGGGGTTTCCCAGCTGGGGATTGCCACTCGTGCTCCGGAGACCTCCCATTTTGTCCTCCGGAGACCTCCCATTCTGTGCTCCGGAGACCTCCATTTTGTGCTCCGTAGCCCCCCCCCCCCCATTTTGTGCTCCGGAGCCCTCCCTGTCCTCCGGAGACCTCCCATTTTGTGCTCCGGAGCCCTCCCATTTTGTCCTCCGGAGACCTCCCATTTTGTGCTCCGGAGACCTCCCATTTGTGCTCCGGAGGTGTCCCAAATCTGGCGTACCTCCGGAGCGCAAATCTCTGCTCCGGGGATCTCCCAAATCTGGGTACCTCCGGAGCAGAGATTTGCGCATCCCGGAGAAGGGTCCCATTCGCCTGCTTCTGACGTCACCGTGACCTACAAGAAGGGACCGCCCCCTTGCCCCGCTCTCAATGGTCATAGGGTCCTCCGCGACTCTGCCAGATTTCGTCTCTCCTCCGGAGCTACGGCACCGACTGGCTGAGTACCTGGCCATAACAAGATTGAATTCAGCATGTCCATTTTTTGCTTCCAGAACAGTTCTTCTTCTTTCTCTGAGTCAGCCAGCGCAGGTTCGGCAAGCTACGCATCTAGGCAAGTGAATCGAACTATGCTTCAAATGTAAACAAAGTGTAATTGCTGCAATCTGTAAGCACATTTAGCTGTCGAAATTGAAAGGTAGACTGCTCACCTTTTCCTAACAAGCTGTTAGAAGCAAAGAGAAGTTAGGAGTTGCGCTGAAGTATTTGGGACTCAAGTGGAAGAAACCACTTCGCAGTTCGACGGATTCTTCATGACTCCCTTGTTTTGTTGCCACCTTACTATAATCAGTACATAGTAACATTATGCTTATCATCAGAGCTAATCACAAACATTTACCTGATACGGATGAAATGTGGGATTCCCCACTGATCTCGCCTGGTGTTGATGTCGTACTTGTAGTCAAACTCGCGGCCCAAGCAAACGTGGCTCAAGTTCATCAACATGACGTTTACGGCGAGTCTCTCAGAGCCTAGAATGGGAAGACGAGTTGTACGCGGTTCGATCGAACGTCGCAGTTTAGGAGCTCTAAGGCATCAGTGCATTTATGCTAGTCGCTTTTACGATTATCACGGCTTGTGCCAGAACGAGGGAAGTGACTGGACGCATATGCCAAGGCTATGTATTACTTCTTTGAGAGTCAGTATAGCTGAAACGTAAGGCAGCCAATTCATGTAAGGTACCCTTCTTTGCGAGTCATTTTCAAGCTTCAGCACAAACCCAAAAGACTAGCATTGGCGGGGAATAATTGCGATTTATGCGCCAAGATAATTAACGTATCATTCTTTTGGCAAGCGAAAATGTGAATCAAGAGGACGACACACAATTGTATTATTCAGTGTAGTCCGCCAAGTCGAGCCTTTGGCTATACTCAAGTAATGCCTCCTGCTGATAAGGGAAGAATACTGGGTCGCACCGGCTTTCAGCTAGGAAAGGTACAGCATTGAGCGCTTTCAGATCACTGATGATATATTTACCCCAAATCGCGAAACGGTTCTGTGGTAGAATTTGTGGGCCTCTGAATCTACAGGATTTGTACTGTCTATAGTCCAAAAAGAGGAGTGGTTGAAACGCTGATAGAATGGTTGCAAGAGAGTTTATTCTCAACCATATAGTGCTGGCGAGTTTTCTTTTTTATAAATCATCTCAAATAGCGGATATCAGTAGTTTTTTTTTTATTATAACTGCGTTTCGAAACACATTTCTGGTAATGATGCATATTCACTCGTATTCATCTATATACCGGGCAGAATCCGTAGGATCAGAAATCCGTGATTTCCGTCCAGAACCGTTCCGCAAGTTTGGAAAGCGGATATGTTTTCGGTCCGAAAGAACCATAACGATTGTACACCTCCATACTAAACCTTGGCTCAATATCAATGCTCTTACTATTCTTCTTTAAAGGAAAGCACTTCCGCAAAAAAGTATCTGCAGTTTTTGAGGTCTTGGCTTTGAATGTAGAGCAGTCCTCATTTTAGAGGTCGCAGCTCAAGTTAGGCGACAGTTGATCTACTAAAAAGTTGGAGATTGTTATACGTGTTTCCATGTGGAGTCTTGCCTACGTATAGTGCATATAATGCATCATCTCGGATTCTAAAACTAGCGCACTTTTCGAACAGTCATTTCTTCGTGGTGTAGCAACGGCGATCTACGCGTGACCAATGCACGCTTATCACTAAAATGGATAATTCCCTTTACATTCTATGAAGTTCAGTTGAACATGAAAAGTTGTAATGTTCGGTCATGGTATTGCATAGCTTTTCTTGCAGTGGTGAGCATTCTCATAAATCGCTAGCTTGATTCGGAAAGTTTCTTTCATTTAGATGTCAGCCCACAAACGTCCTCCGTGTGCTCCCGTTTACGTAGCTGCGCCCACAAGGCCACCATGTGCTCAGGGTTACATGGCTCCCACTAGGCGACCTTGTCTTCCAGTATATGTAACTGCACCCACTAGGAAGCCAAGACCTCCTACGCCGCAGTGGAGCTTTGCAAAGCTGTTTGAGAATTATTATGGAAGTAAAAGAGTTATGTATGTTTGCTATCATCGGCTCCCAGATTCGTGTGGAGGTGAGTCTTGCCAACTCACCGCGTGGCGGTTTTTGCTAGCGAGAGATTACGAAAAGCAATGCTATGACGTGGAGGTTTAGCGTTTACATGTGTTATCAGCCAAAGTCTGCAATACACCTTCACACGAATCTGGGAATCGATCATACAGTCTGCTCCAATCGGGATCAGGCCGAACATATGGCGTAAATTTGCGCGCTCGCAGCGCTAGCAGTCTGTGCTGCAGTTCGCGCTGTCTCAGAGAGCAAAGGGATTGGAGAGAGAGCAGAGAAGCAGGCCGTGGGCGTGACCGCGAAACCCTAGCGACGCGGACTCCCGCCATGCCAATTTTGGCCTGCTTAAGATTGGGGCAGACTGTACCTCTCTAGCTCTGGAGCTTAATTCATAACATTCAGTGATGGACCATTCCGACTAATGGACGGCACTATGGTAGAGGTCGCTGATACTCCAGTGTATTGGTCTGAAAACAGGTGAAACTGTAGCCAGCAAGCACGACAAACAATATAACTATTAAGCAATTTGTAGTACGTATCTCATGAGAGAATTGGTCACGGATCAAGTGATAATAACGAGCATGAATTTGAAGTTTCCGCCATGTGGCTAAATTAGAGAGGCAAGTATTTTCAAAAATAAATAAATTGGGTTGATTGCAGCTCTCGATGTTCGCTACATTGATTCGAGATCATGGGAGCCCGACCATGACTCCCTGGATTTTACTAGCTACACGACCACAATGATAGGTACGATCTTCCATCGATGTTTTCTATTAATCTAGTTAAGTGATCATTAACTGGGATAAGAAAAAGCTTGGTGTCCAGGAAGAAGTCCAGGATTTTTTGTAAAATGGTTATGGTTCTGCTGCTATGTCTAGAAGAAGCCCACGCCTCAAACAAAAATTAAGGAAAATTTGCTTTGGTATAGTCAAAATCACTCCACAAGATTAAGTCTTATAATTAGCAACAAAAGAAAGAGTAAGGATTACTCTTTCATTGACATTAGCACCCTGAAGGAAGTACTCAAAGGGGATGATCAGAAATTGAAGTGACCAGTCAAAACTAAGACACAGGGAGCGGACAAGTCGCGGCCCCAAAAGGCCTTTCCGGCCCATCCGCAGCCTATTGTTGGCGTGGTCGGGGTGCGGCCGACCCGCGGCGCTTCGTTCATGTCATTATCATTGCACCAGGCGAGCCGCGGGAGAAAATGCGCTCACCAGCTCAGCCTCGACCCCTAATGGTGGGGAGGAGCATTGCAGCGCTGAGCCGCGGACCAAAATCCGTGTAAGAAACTCCGGCCGAGCAGCAGCCTATGTCCTATGAAGGCCGCGGCTCGGCCGCTAGTATCTTAGCGTAAAGGATACTTACGCTACGTACGACTTTTGCGATACCTTAACAAAAGTTCTTCAATTCAAGTTTTATGCTGCGAAAATCGGCGAGCAAACTCAAGATTAATATCGCCACTTCTCAAGATGTAGCAAGCGGAGCTTTACCGCCGTTTGCCAACGTATTTTGGAGTCTTACTACAGGCTGCCCCCATTTCAACCAGGCCAAAAATGGCATGGCGGGAGTCCGCGTCGCTAGGGTTTCGCGGTCACGCCCATGGCCTGCTTCTCTGCTCTCTCTGCAATCTTGGTCTCTCCAACAGCGCGCATATGCAGCGCAGACCGCTAGCGCTGCGAGCGCGCAAATTCACACCGACGTCTCGGCCTGATCTCGACTGGGGCAGATTGTATAGCTAGAAAGTATGATAATGCTGTAAAACAGAGTTTTAATATGTAATATTTATTTTCTTTTCTGTATCGCACTTGTCGTGCATAGGAGCTAATTTAGAAACCGAAACAGGTACTAAACAAAACACCATCGAAATAAGGTCTCAAACAGGCAGCTCGTTTGATGTGAACTGACCGCAGGAAGAGAAAGATACCAGCTGCAACAGATCCATCATCTTTGTGACCTTCCGCTCCTTTTCCCCAGTTTAACAGTGACCAATACATCTCCAATTTAACAGTGACCAACATGCCAACGCAAAAGATACGCTGAAGTACCGTTCCCTCCACAACTGCTGCTACCCCTGCTCTACCTCTCTGTCCTTCGGCATTTAGGCATGGCTAATATGTTGGCAAAATGCAAAGATATGCTGGCAGGACATTTTCGCTTTCAGCCCGAATGTCAACATGTTGCTACACGTCAACAGCTACCATGTTAGCTGTACGTTTCGCACGGCAGAAGAGCATAGCGGGAGTAGCAGCAGTTGTGAAGGGTTCGATATGTAATTGCACACCGTCGTTAATGCCAAAAACGAGCCATTAGTGATTAAGTCTCCCGATTTACTCCGGGCATCAAGCTAACTGTTGATGAGATGGCGTCGATGAAATAGTCGCAGGTATTATTGAGGTCAAGATCACTTGAATCGAAGCTTGACATATACACAACATTCAAAAAGGCCACTTAAACTGATACAACATTCCTTGCTAGATTTGCTGATAAAACTTCCCACCGAGAAGCAGCACGAAACAGAGACGATAAAGAAAAAAATCAAACGAGGTCGGAAAGTTTGACCTGCAATAATTCATAAGAAAATTTAGTGTAGTTTAGCATGAGAGCAAATTTATGTAGGTAGGAGAAGTTGGAGACTCATTCATGCAATGTGTTCAGGTATCTAAAGTGCTATCCAAACGTGAAAGACGAAAATCAAACGCAAAACATTCTAACAAAGTCAATTTTTTGAAAATTCACAAGTATCACTGAAGCGGCTACCTCGCACAATGGGCTGACTGAAAAAAGTCTTTGCGCTTGAGCAAATGCAAGAATACAATCGCTGGACAGATTGGCTATCTAAGGCAATAAACAAAATGCGTGCGGGGCGACTTTACGTAACACAGTCAAATGCATATTTATGTTTAACAAACACTGCAAGAGGCTCCGGCAAACTCCATGCGATTTTAGTCGCTATCTGGAGCTTAACAGAATCTTCAAGTACAACACTAGCACTATACAAGTGCATGACGTGCTTTTCGTATGCTGGTAATATGCCTTATCCTCTGTACGCTCAGAATCTCGCGATGATTTATAAACCTTTAAAGCATTGTAATTCTCGTCGCGACTAAATTGCATGAAGCGTGCGCTGGGTCTGAGGGAAAACGTGAAAGATTCTTCAGCTGACCAATAATCACTTCGTGCTTACCTCGAACGTATGCCGCACATAACTCGCGCATTTTAGCATTAGTTTCTCATAAGCTTTCGCCTATTCTCTTCAACATCTTCATTCATGAGCTTTTGCGCATACCATTATCTAAAGGAGTTTCTTGCAGCGCCGCGAATGATGTCAAGTTTTACAATGCTGTAAATGATGACGTTGACGTAAACAATTACAACATGCATTGAATGAGGTGCTTGATTGGTCACTAATATAGGATTTACCTATTTCGAAAGAAAAAACAAAAATACTACACTTAGTAGTTTAGGAGCTAGCCCTTGCAGCTGTTGACTCAATTGGAGACTTGGGGTTTCTGATCACGAGTAGTCTTTCGTTTGATGAGCATTGTAAAGTAATTGCAGACAAGGCTACGGTGGCAATTTACAATTTGTACAGAGGATTGACATGCACAGATCCTAATATTCTTTGAAGGCTTGCAAGACTTTTATTAGACCTATTGTTGGAATATGGTACCGTCACTTATCACTTATGGTCCACAAACCCAAAAGGCAATCAACTATATGGAAAATGTACAAAACAAAAATACAAGAAAGTTACTGATTAGGACGGTTGGTTTCAATTATGATTAATTACCATGCAATCAAGTCCGTAATGCAAATCTTGGGCTCTCAAGTCTTGCTTATAGATGAAAGAAATTCGATCTTATCACGGTGCACAAAATAATATTTAGAGGAACTTTTTTGTGACTAGATCCTCGAATACTAGAGGTGGACCTAGAAAGCTTGTGTTACTAGAGGCTAAGCGAAACGTTAGAAGGCACTTTTTCACGTGCCGAGTGGCGCATGATGTGGATATACTTTTGAGGAAGAGAATGTTCGTGGCTAAACTCGCAATGCTCAAAAAAGTTTTGAGAGGCTACCTGAAAACACACTGACACTTTTTTCTGTTCAAGTGCTGTGGTGTTGACTGTTTTTTTGTTGCTTGTTTGATTTTCATAGGGGTATCCCTATGCACAAATAAATAAATAAGACAATCGAGATGTTTCTCGCCGCCGACTGGAATGCTGAGACAAACGGCGGGACGTGAATATAACCAAAATTGGGTGCTACGAAAAACACATTAGAATTAGCAGATTAACAGAGAAAGTAGTTTTATCATGTATATGGTCATTGAAGCTGTGGTAGATAAGTGCAGCGACATGAAACAAATTACCAAACAATCTATGATTTATCAAGGTAAGCACTAGCTTAATCCTGCGTTTGTTTTTTAGGTTAGAATTTCTTCTACAGTGGATAAGGTGTTCGGTCGAATGAGTTTATGTGTCTTCAACTTTTCAGAGTCTGAAGAAGACGAGTTTGCAGGAACGTCGGTCTCTGCAATAAAGTCCTGTATATCCTGTACTGCTGAAAGAAAAAAAGCTAATGTTTATTAGTTTGCGAAATACCTTCTTTTGAGGAAAAACAGGCAAACTTTTAGCGAAAACGAGCGAAAAAAATGTTATCATAAGAGAGGCATATGTGCGGAAAGAGAAAACAAAAAGCATAGCATCTATGGGAGATGTCGCCAAAAATTTCGATAACAAATAATATGCTCCCACTAAACAACAAACTTTCTGTATATGTTGGCGTGGCCAATCAAAAATCTGAAAGAAACGATGTCTGTGTCTGAGTGTCTTTCGAGGCTGCTTATGTGATGCCTTCATAACTTGAACGCTCTCCACAGAGGAAAAGTAATTGGTGATCGCCTTTTTTATCTATCACTCCACAGCCAAGTGCTTCTGATCGTGGCCACTACAGTGGCCGTCATCACTTTCGTAAATTCGCATATTGTATGTGTGCATTCTCTTCTCCTTGTTTGTTCGCCGAGTAAAATGTGCAATTAAAATCAGGCACGTGTTCATTTTGGTTAATACTCGGTTTTTTTTACCAGTTTGCGCTCTGGAAGGGAGACAACAGCGCTGAAAATTATGAAAACCGATGCGATTGGGCTACGAGTGGTGCCCTTTGAGTGAGGAATAATGACTTTTACTTCAAGGAAACTCCAAGCTCGATTATCGGTAAATCTTGGCATGTGTTCTTTGTGTATGTCATCTCCAGTCAATAACCAAAATTGGTGATACATTTATTAGTGAGGCTAAGGTTTTGGTGCCGTCACCATCGTGGGCCTGAGAGTTTGTACACATTAGTGTTTTGTTCTTGCAAAGCTTGTCTAAGCAAAACTACTTCCAGCATTTGGTTCTGAAAGCATGTCGAGAACCGTCGTCAATGCTTACCTCGGCAGTTTTCGCTCAGCTACCACCAAGCACAGCATCTGCACAATCATTAATAGCAGAGACTAAGGCAGGTACCTTATGTAGTTGAACCTAGTCTCAGTGTAGATCAAATTCGCAAAAGGACTGATATATGATTGGATCACTATTCAAGTCAACGCCTGACAGGCCTCCGTGTGTGAGAATCAAGGAGCACTTAGGTAGTTCACAAAATCTAAATTTTTACATCCAGTATGCACATGGTTACAAGGATCGCTCGGATCAACATTTCAATATACCTGTCGCAATCTTTACGCGTGATACCGGCGATTCATCGCGGCAAGACAGCTGTAACAAATACATGCCGGTCTTCTGGCATTTCGGTTGTGACGGTTTTCCACCACGACTAATCGTGACTCACTACCACAACTCCAAATACAAGAAGAACGGCATGCAATAACATTTTTACAGTTGTCTTGTCGCGATGAATCGCGATAATGAAATCGCATGAACTCTGTCCTGGGCCTTAGAGTCATTGGATAACATTCAAAGCTACCGCAATGAACTGCAAAAAGACGCGGTTGCCATGAATAGTGATTTAACCGCGTATCAGTCTCAACTTAGTCTACACTGAGATTAGATCCATCTTATAAGGCACCTGTACTGGTTTGGTCTCTGTTATTACTGATTGCAGAAGCTCTATTTGGTAGTAGGTTGGCTAAAGAAGACATCACAAATGACTTTATACTTTATTATTACATCCTTGGGAAGTAAATAGGGCTATTGTAAAGTTGATGTGAGTCGTTTTGCAGTTTAGAGACAGTTCAAGCAATCGAAATGGTTGCATGCACATTATTAGGAGTATTGAATTGACATTTACTCATACCATGTACTTTGAGGGTAGCCAGAACCAGGTCCAATTTGCTTTGACTGCATAAATTGCGGAGGGTATGCTGTGGTCTTAGTTCGCGTTAAGGGATGAGGTAGCTGTAGCGCTTAGCGATATGGTACGAACAAATTTGAAGAGCGGTACTTGGTGTAAAGGTTCAAAAAGTTTATTCAATCTAATTGTAGCTCTGCCCTAACAACAAAATGGGAGCCAACTATAATCAAATAAGACCCATGAAAACATCTAGTCACTTCCAGAGCAAATGTTCGTGTACGGTGCAGTTGAAATCAGTAGCAATGCAAGAGCAGATGTGCTCTCAATTGGACTTGGAACTGGATATATAAACTCATATCTGCACAAAAATTATCCAAGGGTAATGATGGTTAATTTCAATCCTTATTTGTGCTGTAATTAACGAAGCCAGATGAATATAACGGTAGTCGAAATCGATCCGGTCATGTTAGAGATCTCAAAGAAATGGTTCGGTTTGGTATTAGACAACAGACAGCGAGTTTTGATAGAAGATGGCGTCCAATTTGTAAGAAGAATGGCAGCGGAGAAACGAGGTAATTCTATGGAGAGAAGTTCTTATGTAAAATACGTTGTTTTTTTTGATAACCGAAACGCAATGCAGGTAAGGTCTACGATGTTATTCATCTTGATGCTTGCACCATGGACGAGAGTGCTCAAGTAAATTGTCCGATCGATATATTCATGACTCCCGAGATAGCGCGAGACTTTGCAGAGTTACTGGGCACTACAGGTAAACTATTTGTACGAAATGGAAAAGAGGCTGCATTATTCAGGTATACTCGTGATTAATGTAATGACTTTGAAGGCTGACCACATTGCTGCAGCGAAATTGGTAAATTTGTCCGTGATATTTTACAAGTGTGAAAGAGGGAAAACGCGACGTAACTCTAACAAGCGTTTATCTCACATGCCTACTACCAAATAATATAAGGAAACCAGAAAATTATTCGCCACACGTTAGAGGAATTTCCGTGCAAAAACCTAATCTTTGCTAGATTCTGCTTACCCGATACTTTGGATTTGAAAATTTTACCTCCAAAAACGACGGAAAAAGGCTTCTGTTGAAGGTTGAATTCGGACAAGGAAACAGTAGTCCGTAAAGGCGGTGTCGAGTGGTATTATTTTTTCTCTACTCGAGTAAAACAGTTTCGCTGAGCGCTGAGTTGCTATGAGGCCGTAGCATCACGACTGTGGTGACATGCGCATTCTACTGCAGAACAGGGATTACACAGGTTAGCCGGGAATTTCCCTTGAAGCGTAAACTCGCAACTTTCGAGCAAACTCGCTCCCGGACCAAAGCAATGGTAGCGTATTGTGGGAGGTGTTTAAGAGTACTCACCTTCACATGATACCATAACTATAACCTTTCCTGCACACTTCCTTCACTGCCTCCATGCACGAAACAATTGTAGAATCAGAATTTCAACGTTGCACTTTACTGACTCCCAACCGCCATTTAGGTCCGTAATAATCCCGCTTGGGTGGTGGCTACGTTCAAACGAGGCAGCCCAGGTTTGTGTTGTCAGGCAGAAACTTGATCGGCAGCCATCTCTTATCACTACTGCCGGGGTTAATTGGCGGTCGTGACATCAGGGCAAGCAAAACCTTGTGCGCCTAGAACAAACTCCGCATGAACCTTCTAGTGCGTCCAGCGGAAACGCAGAAGGCACATTCGAGGTCGAGCATGTAAACGCTCGCTAATCGTAGCCAATTAGCTCTACACCAATCTCAGTCTATATTGATAGCTAATAATCAGCGCCAAAAAGCGAAGTTCACGGTACTGCTCTTTGACTTCTGCGGTTTTTCTTCTACATTTTACTTTGGGGACTAAAAAGGTGGGTTATTCTGATTATAATGTGTTATAATGTGTTAAATTTTCCAGCCAAACTTGCTGTTTTCCGACGACCTTAACATGTTGACGACAACGCGATTTTTAGTTGTCTGCCTTGTGGGCAATGCCTTTTACGAATAAGTCAAGAACTTCTAGCTATTAGGTTGGTGCAAAAGTAATGCGCGTTTTGCGAGTTCTCACTTCGACGTGCTATAACTTTCTAAAAACTCCATATCTTTCAGCGCGGCAAAATCCACCAGAGGCACCAAACCTCTCTCTATACAGCGCACGTTGATTTGTGCTAATATCGCAAAACGGTGAAAAAATATGGATTGATAAGCAAAAATAATTTTTTTGGAAACCTCGTTTTTAACTGATCATAAGTTCCTTCAAGATTTGTTGGTATAAATGAAAAGTTGACTGTCTTGTAGCCGTAAGCCAGTAGTACAAATAAAAGTTGAAAGGGGCTCAATCAAAGAAGATTTGAGAAAAGGAAAAAATAGTATTTAAAATTGCCCGCTTTTTTCGACATTTTTCGTAGCCCTCAAAATCCCAAAATGGAGATTTTTCATTTTCTGTGTACTGAACAGCTTCCAAGTTTATGCAAAAACTGTCAACAGGAGGTCCACCCTTACGCTTACAGGAGTGAGCAAAACTTTGGCGATTGCCTTCTTCAAAGGAAATCTATGGCCCACAGAATGTTCAAGACCATCACTCATGTTGGGGCACCGAAATCTCAGTCTGAATAATTTCTGAAAAAACAGCAAAGCGTGCATAACGTAGAAAATTTCTACTACATACAGTAGTTAAATTTTCAAAAGACTGCGATTTTTCGCGCTCAAATTCTGGCCAAAAAACTAAGTGCAATGAAATTCTGGTTTCGAGTGCGGTTGTATGAAGCTCTATAAATTTTTAACGATTGAGGCTAGAAGCTTCTTTCAACCACCGTTGAATAGAGCATGAAAGAAGCTTCTTCAAAGTATGCTGTGTAAGTTTCATAGGAGAAACTTCGATGGAGAAAAGCTTCTTGAAATAAGGGCTAGAAAAACGCGCATTACTTTTGCACCAACCTAATAAAATCACGCAGATCGTTCATTTCTACCATAAAAGCGTAAAGCCCTGGCCATACCGTCAAAAAAATCACCGCGATGCGATTTGTGCGATCGGACAACTGCAATACCCCCTATTTCATGCTAGCAAATCATGCATATCGGTCGTGCTAGCTGTCCGGTGCGACGGATCGCTGACCGTGATTTCCTAGGCCATACCTATTCCAGCGATATCGCCGCGATTTGACCGAAATCTTGCGATATCACGTCGCAAGTTTGAAACCTGCGACGGGGCGATATCGCTGGAATTGGATTTCTTTCCTGAAAGTTTTTGTAAATAGTTCTTTTCTTTTTAGACTTGTTTTTTGTGCAGTGATGTTAAAATGTGATGCAGATTTCCTTTTGCACTTAGCAACTGCACTTCTGTCGTGTTGTGATGCCTTTATGACTCGTGCCATCAGTCAAAATGAATATTTTTGTTTGAAACTCGTATGAATAACATGCGTAGTATTTAGGGGGTGTATGCCAAAAGGCGCGATTTTTATTGCCAGATGGACACCAAAAAGCACTTAATAAGTGTTTTATAACATTCTAAAAGTTTTGAATTCCTAGAAGGAGATATATTCAGGAGCTGCATAGGTTGCTCAATCTTACTACCTTGAAATCAATTCAAAAGAGCAATTTCGAAGGTCAAAAATCCATGAAAATGCAGCTAAGAACAATTTCGTAAATATTTCAAATCGTTTCCCAGCAAAAGCCACCAAACTTGGCGAGTGGTAACAGTCAGACAGATAGTAATCCAGTGCACTTTATGTGATACTTTTTGAAAACTCGCATAGCACTGAACTGGAATTTTGAGTTAGTGACAGCCGAAGAAATTGCGCCTCTTCACCGTCCCCCGTATTTAGGTATCTGAATTTCGCAAAATCAGCAAAACCGCAGCTACAACTTGAGAAAATTGCTTTTGCATCCTGTATCCAACAAGAAAAGTTAAACGAAGATGTAAATGCGCGAACTAATATGAGTTGATGCTGGACGTGTTGGTGTCGATGAAAGACAAAAAATCTGCAAATGTAAAGAAATCACGCTGAATACTGCTTTTGGATGGCAAAAGAAAACGTAGAACAAGTGCTGAGGTGTGTATTTTCACCTTATCGCTGAACAGGTATAGGTATGTCCAGAACCCGCGATGAGCGATTTGATAATCGCGATTTCGTCGCTACAATCACGAAATTCTTCGGCGATGAAATCGCGACGATGAAATCGCTGCACGTATGGCCAGGGCTTAAAGGATCTGGTGTCTTCAATACTCTCTGCGGGCATGCGCCGAACGCACACTATTTCATAGTCGAAGACGCAACTGTATGCTGCGAGCCTATTACAGTGACTTGCGGGGGCCAGCCGTTTTACCAAGTCAGTGCTTTCATCCTCCCAGATTACTCTGGTACCAATTTACCGGCCCCGGAGAGTAGAGGACTTGGTTGGTCCAGGGGCGAGGATTGAAACTGTGTCCCATCTGGTCCTCATACCACAACGCCACTCGTCCTCGTTTCTACTATACCTACACAAATTCCAAAAAGCAGCCAAGAAACTTCAAAGTAACTTTTAGGGTTAGAGCGTAAAAGACCTTATGAAACGAATGTACCCTATGACTGTAATAATTTTAACAAAATTTAAGTCATGACCCACCATGTGCATCACATTGTCCCATGTGGCAGTCATTGAATGACCCACCATGTGCGTCACATTGTCTCACGTGGCTGTCATTGCATGACCCACCATTTAGGTCACATTGTCGTACCAAGAACAGTCTTTTTTGCGGGTTAGAAAGACGATTGAATTGGAAAAAAACATGTTATGAGGTACAGATTACAAAAACTTCACAATATTCAAGAGTCTTCGACATGGAGATGGCATACAAAACGTGAAATTTCTGAAATTCTACTTAAAAATATCAAAAAATCAAGAAATAATAACTAGTTGAGATACGCAGTCATGTCCGTTTGCGGTTCCATTAGCTAAGCACTTATTGATTTCTCTATTCAATAGAAAAAAAACATTTAGTGCGCAGACAACGAGGAACAAAATAATAAACTTGTGATAAGATAAGATAACCAATTGCGACTAAGGTAGGCAAAGAAATTTGTGAGACTCACCGGCGGTTTTTGTAGCAAAGATAAAAACTGCCCAAAAACCAAAGAAGTTGGCTGAGTAGAAATTTGGGATGCATGATAATAAAAAACGAACTCACATTTCTTGGCTTGAAAGCAAAACGCGCCAGAATAGCGCTTCAGAAGCATAAATTGCTGTCCATGTGTGCCTGCGTTCCTTGCGCATAGAACTCGGCGTACACGACCACTAGTCCGGTGCGCCTTCCTGCGTCTCCACGCTGGAGGCACTGTTTTTGTCTGCCCCGCAAGTGACGACGTTCATGACGTGCTCGCCCTATTGCGAACGAGAAACGAGCACGTCCTACAGTCAAGACGTCTATCAATTTTATCCGGCGGTCACGATAAGAGACAGCCGCCGGATAAATCGCGGCCGAAATACACGTATTCTGCACGTGCGATGTTTCCAATGTCGCGACCACCATCAAAGATATTATTACGGGATGAGATTTACCGCCCTCGTCTACATAATTACGGGAGAATGCTTCACTGAAACACGGTAAGCCTTCATTTTTTCAGAAAAACGTAAAGAAATCAATAAATCGGTAGAAAGACCCAGCGGATCGCCGTAAAAGCAGCCTATCATCTGCTAGGGATCGAATATATGTATTAGGCTGCTGCATAAGTTCTGTCCGATTTTTTTGCTTTATGTTTGAAGCAGCCGTTCTAAGAAAATTTTATTCCTAATGCGATATTGTTAGCATCTTCAGAAAGAGCTTCTCTTGCTCTTTCCAAAGCATGCCAAATTTCAGTAAATTTCTTAGTGTAAGGAGATTTTAGACCT